CGAAAAATAAAAAAATTCACGGTTCCGATTACCGCAACCGTTACACTACAGCCTTTACACCCCGCAACCGCAATCGAGTCACCGCCACCGTTACGGCGACCCCAACCGCTTTTCAAGCCTTGCACTCAAACCCATTTTCCTGCACATCAATACACGAAATGGGTTCAACGTGCAATGTCTTCTCAGGCATCGAAACCTTCGATTCGATCGACGCATCGACGGGGTCAGCGAGCAGGACGTGGAGCGAGCCGGATGGTGGATGCGGCGATGAGGGATTTGTGGGGGTTTGAGAGACTTTGAGGGAGGAAATTCTTGGGGTGAGGACCATGAGGATTGGTGAGTTAGATTTGAGGGGTTTTGATCGGGTTATAGAGTGGATTTCGATGGCGGAAGAGTTGGAATCGGAGTCAAATACGGTGACGATGACGAAACGATCAAAGGTGAGATTCCTGGGCCATTATAGATGTTAGACTGGAAGCACGACGCACGCGTCTCTCTCGTGCTTTCATAAACTGTTTCTGATTCACACTTTAGCAACTGACAAGCAAGACGTAACAATATGATAGCCTCTCTTACCTTGCAGATCGTGGTAGAGCTTAGCCTTATGAGTGGCTCTGGGGTAGGAGTGCTGTTAGGTGCGGATCGACTTAGGTATAGCGCAGAGGCCTTGCACTTCTGTTTTGTAGAGCGGGGATCTCTTTGGACTTTGATGCACTCTTGCCCAGGCCTGTTTTCTGATGCGGTGATTGTTGTCCGTTCTGTCTTCTTTCACATGTTTAGCCATCCTGTTCGCCCAATAAGACCGATTGGTGCGCCTTATCGTTACTCTCTCAGAACAGCTCTCCTATCTGTAGTCATCTTATCCTTTCCTCGCCGGTTGAGATGGCGCGCCACCAGAGTCTATTTCTCTTGGAGTTGTCAGCATGACAATTGTTGGGTTCATCAATTTGCCTTGTTGGTATCGACCAGCTTAGACAGTTGTATGTTGTGTGTGTGCTCCATTTTGACCGCAGACTAGAACATGGACATCGATAACTTCATTATAAGCCAACGTGGATCACAAACGGGCATTATCCACAAAAAATTGGCATTCAATGACGGGAATTTACATTTGAAAGGAAAAACAAAGACGACGTGAAGTGGGCGTTCCTATTATAACCTCGTCTCGACTGCGCCCTACATGCACCACACTTATCCAACACCTTTAAATCAGTTGTAAGCCTCGGTGGAAGCGCCGTAGGGAGTTGGTCCAGCCGAAAAGAGGCTCCATCACTTAATAACAACACTATGTTGTTCAGTGAGAGAGGAATGAGAGGCAACCTAGTGGAAGTGGGACCAATGGCCAGTAATTTAGATTTGGCGTAAATAGAGACTTTTCTAGGATAATTTTCCCTTGGAAAATTGTAGTAGCTTTTTAGAATATCTCAGAGGTGCAACATTTTTATTTCATAGTTTTTAGCTAATTGAGGAAACAACATTATTTTTTAGATTGGTCCGGACAGTGTTAGAATTACAACATCTCACTCCAGGAGATATTACAAGGCTTTTTGAACTCTATACCACTTCGCTATTTACAGCATCCCCATCATCGAGGCATTCATCGCCAACGACTGGACTGCTGCGGCATCATCCAAACAAGGGGCAACTTTCCGTTGCCACGAGCCGTCGTGAGCCGCCATTCAAACCAGGGGCAACTTTCCGTTGCCTCCCACCCCCTTCAAACCAGGGGCAATTTTCCATTGCCTCCGATCCGAGGTTGCGCATCTCAAAGAGTAAGTTCCATGCCCGTTGAGCATTGACTGTTTGAAAAATAGTTTTTGAAAATTTTTACTGAGGTTGACTACTTTCTCGAAAACTATTTCATTTTCCAAAACTGGAC